CCAGGCGCCACGCAGTTTGAAGGGTAATCTAGTTTATGAACAAATCGCATTTGAAAACCGAACATCCCAATAGCAATAACGTAGTTATCGATTTTTTGGTTAGTCTACTATGTTAAAGACCTAGAAAGCCCTAAATGATGCAAATTTTGGAAAAAGCAATCAAACTCTTGTTCTTGAATTGAACACCGACAACTTTAAACAGTAGATACAAACAAAACATGTCACAGGACAGTACTTTAAATGCCGTACCAAAAGATAGTACTTTCTTTTTTACGTTTTCGTTGCACAACTTTCAGGTCAGCCGGTAAATTAGCGGAAATATATTCGCAACAGCACGAGATTAATATTGTCACTTCATACAGGTACTCTTACAGAGATCTAGAGGTTTCGGGTGTAAAATTCAGTTTTGGTGTTGAAATCAACTCAAATAGGCTGTTGTGGAATTAATTCCGATTCCATATTAAATTTTTCTACCTATGTACCTTGTTTCATGTGTTTATATAAGATATTTTTAGCTATAAATCAGTATTTAACAAATTAGTAAATAGGTAGTGACCCCCAAAAAATATGCGATTCCATTCGAGAATTGCAGCTTTAACCGTAATTCAAATTCATATTTCTCTGTTGAAGCATATTTTCTGTGGCTGAGTTACGGATGACCTTGCAGTTTTTCTAATTTCATTTGCTTGATAACTGATACTGTTCTGATTAGAAAATTCTCCCACAAAACATCTAAAATGCTACTTTAAAAACAAATTTGCTGTTTTGTGATTGGCACTGATATAGGAAATGCATAGGGGTCCGACAAACGTGTGCAGAGGTACGATAATTATGCTCTTTTTGCATTAATATGCTTAGGTTTAAATCTCTAGATGTACTGTGGATGTCCAAAAAAGAAAATGTAATTATGCTTTCGTATAGGCGTTCTAAAGCGTAGCGTTGTCTTTTTTTTCTAAAGTTTCCTACGCTTCGAGTTGCGGCGCCGCGACTAGCGTGCCGCTAGTGCATTCGAGGTTATGTTATGTTATTTCCGAATAGGTACTAGTATTTATTGTACTCCTTGATCGGTAGTTGGTAAAGCTATAATGTGCTAAACTGACTACAAGGCCCAATTCAGTCATTTTATTCACGTTTAGTATCCACTATCGATACTTACGAAACACATGTTGCTCCTGCTGGTATAAACATAGTCCGGCTGGCCATACACACTATTCATCGTAGAACTTGCGTAGACGGTTCAGTTTCGCGCCACAAAACAAAGGAACCACTATCCGTAAGACCAATCACAGTCAAACACCGGAGAAAACGACCAGTAGCAGTACCACCATTTACATTAACGCCACGAAACAAACGTGCTACTGTTCGAAAAAAACCATCGATAGCCGGTAGTGCTGATCGTCGATTGTTCACCAAACAAATGAAAGTGACGGAGTGCGTGTTTATTCAGAGACTGTTGCCGTGGTGTGGAGGTACCCGTGTGGAATTATTAAAGGTGTATCTCGCTGAGTACCGTGCTTGGTTGAGGCCTGCGGCGGACAGATAGGCATTCCGGTTGAATTGATTCGTATACTGCTGAACATTAGTGTGCTGCTCTCTTTCAGAAAGTAACCAGATTGATACCTAAAAATTTCTATACTGAAGTAGTCTCGAAAGCAGAGTGCAAATACTACGGTACCTTGGCTACGCTCGATTGAATGACAACTGAACATAGATTCAGCAATGGTCTATACTCAAAACTTCATTACTTCCTACCTAATTATCTTTTAGATCGTTCCTCATTTGGAGCCGCTGCAATCAAAATTGTTGAATGAATGCATTATGAAGTCAGAGGCATACCGGCCAGCGCGAGCAGCTGGCGCATAGGCCACTTAAACGAGCCCTTATGCAACCCTACATCAATAAACTTCAAGCTCCGCCCTTCTAGCAAAGTTCAGTATATTCTTGAATCCCAGTTCTTTAACGTTCTGGGGATCCAAAGTGGTGGACCCCAGAATAGTCTGCCTGTAGTAGCTCAGAGCCTTACAGCGACACAGAACATGCGCCGAGGTCTCTTCCTCTATCCCGCAGCACTCACACAAGAGATCCTCAGCCACCCTCATTACATGCAGGTGGCGCCTCGATGTATTATGGCCAGACAACAGTTCCACAGGCAACCGTAGGTTGGCTCTATCGAAAGATAAGCAAAAGCGTCCATCCTTAGCACTGAGCTCCCTTGCCTGTGAGGCAGTTGTCAGTTGACTCTTTGAGTGGGCACCTCTAACGTTGGCTCAGGACCAACGAGCTTGCTCGATGATCCTGCTTTCGCAACAGCATCCGCAATATTATTGACCTTACCGGATGCCTTGCTGCCAGACTAATCAGAGCCTCCCTGCATTGCAATACAAGGCTTGCAGGAATCTTGCTGGCACTTAGTGTCTTCATTGCCACCTGGATGTCGGAGAAGATTACTATTCTTCTCCTAGGCCCTTTCCCCTCCAAAAAGATTTCCGCTTGGAAAGTAGTGGTGTATCCACCGATAGGAAGAGGGTCTACTTCTAGGCCCAAGGAGGCGCCAGAGCCCTCTTAAGTGACCGAGCCGTCCATGCTCCAGACCTGCCGCCACCCTTTGGAGAACTTCCGGCTTCCGGAGCCCCATTCCGCTCTCGTTGGATACTCCACATTAACTACTGCTCAGAAAGACAGGAGCCTCCATTTGCAATTCGACTAAGATGGAATTGTGATCCTCGACAGAAAGGCACGCCTACCCTGACGCCACAATCGATGTGCGACTACTGTCGCCTCTCCGCGGATTACTAGAACCAACGGTGGGAGATCCAGCAGAGCTTCCATTGCATTCAACGGCGTTGTCCGCATTGCGCTTCTAATACCGATACAAGCCAAACGCTGAATTTTATTGAGTTTTGCCTTAGTTTTCTCGGTTCCAGTGGAAGGCCACCAAACCAGGGAACCGTACAAGAGAGGTGGGGGGACTATCGTCGTAGACAGCCAGTGATCAATAGTGTTAGTGTGACTATTTGGTTGATCACCAAATTAATACCCTCTTAGATACTCAATTCTTTTGCCCAACGCTTTAGTCAATCACTCCAAACAGCATGGTACCGAGAACAGGAAGTCGATTTGTCAGTCAAATATCAATGTTAGTCAATGGTTCTCTGATGACTCTGAAAAGTCTGCGTTAAGAAGATTGAAACAAAAAAGGGATGCAGGAGCGTTTCTCTTGAGAGATTGCGTCTGTGTCCTAGCAAAACCGCTTGCTATCATTTTTAATAAATCCTTTAGGCACTCGGTTCGCCCTTCCCTACAAGGGTAAGTAATCCGAATGACCGACCTATAACTACTATGCAGATATTCTTTATCGGGTTAGCATTCTCTTTGTAAACACCAACACGGGTTTGAAACAAGACGGTCAACAGTAGCGGTGCTCGGAGCTAAAAGTAAGCTAGCGTTCTGATTGACTTTTGGATAGCAGCATATAGTTGTATCGGTCCGTTGACTCATAATTTTCAGAGAATAATCCGCAGAATCCGGTCAGGTATTTGCCGGAGAGTAGGAGTGACTGGTATGGGTAATGGGTTTTAAATGTTCAGGAATCCCACCACCTGGGTCGTACGAACGCGGATCGGGCCCAGGCACAACCTCTGATTATTGTTTCTTTCTCTTGACTCTCACAGATACATATTGTATGAGTCCATTGTATTCATCTCATAATCTCAGCCCAGAATGACTGCGACCAGTGTTCATCATGATCTGGTGTTAAGGCCCTTTCATAAATTGTAACAGCTTTCTTACACGCACTATGTTTTGTACTGATATTTACCAAGCATTAGGGTGAAAGTATAATAATTACTGCAATTAGTGGATTGATAGTTGGATTATTTCTGTTTTTACACGGTTCTTAATGGTTGTTGGCTAACGATAGATGCCGTGTAATGATTTGCTGTACAGTGATTTTCAAAAATCCCCCGCTACTTTTTTTAACGGGTCATATTAGCAAGCTGGGCGATGATACTGACGTATTAACACTATATTTTGGCATACAATGATAAGGACGCAATGATTGTTTTGTCGTTAAACACATATGACTGGCACAATGACATTGACATTTGTACATTGTGAATGGCCACCATGGTGGCCGAAACGTCAGTAGTAAAAATTATCTCAAACATATATGTACTTAGCAGTCAGACAATGATGGAAACCCATCAACATGAAAGCCACAGGATACGTTTCGGATGTTGCATTATAAAAATGGTGGTTGGCTCCCAGCCGCCATCCAAGAAACGATTTTCTAGATCTTGAAGCATCTTATGCTTACTGTTAAGGATGAACGTTTTTGTATATTGAATCTGTTATGACTCAAACCAAAACGCTATAGTATCCCATATTAAACTTGTTATGTTGGAAAGGTGTATCTGAACGTGCAATAAAACAAGATATCGTATCTAGAAAATTGATCACAATGTTGTAAAATCTGTGTGGACCATGGACTGATTGTATGAGCCTGATTGACTGACATGATACATTTTATTCCTTTTTATCGTGCTCGTTGCCAGAGTGTCGAATATAATTACTTATATTTAATTCCATATTCGGTTAGATCCTTCCGAGAGAAGAAGATCGATATAGCATACTCTTCATTTTTCAAAAACAGTCAACTTTGTCAGTCTGGCAGTTCTAAATTTTGAAAGACTGCGAATTTATGTCCAGGTTAATAAAGTATGTATATGGGGTATGTATAAAATTGATGACCTTTCGATTCACTTAAAAAAAAACGTTTCACGATGGCGACCAGTGATCACCTTAAAATTTCCTACTGCTATTTTTACACCAAAATATAGTATTCATGCAAAGGCCCTATCAGCGAATTCCAGCCTGTTAACTTGACCCGTTCAAAAACTAAGTAGGATAAACTGATTTTATGCATTTCCACTGATTAAATTTGCATGGTCCATTTTTTGATAAGGTGTCTTATTGTGTATTGTGGTACCCGCAGGGGGTAGGTGATCTCTTCCTTGTAAGCCTATCTATCATTTCATTGCCTTCATTTATCCTGAAGCCCACCTGGTAGTTCTAAACATATGTATGTACCTCAAGTGAGCAATCTTCTTTTTCTTTAGCTATTAAATTTAAAATATTGAATAAAACTCTGTCCCACAGTTCTTATCATTATAATCGCCAGTCAGTCAAAGTTTTAGGAAAAACTTCCTATCTGTTCATCAAGTGCATTTTGCGAATAGACTAGTATAAATTAAGTGTTTGCTTATGGACCTGGATAAAAATATGCATGACGGAATATTATTCTATAAAGGTGCACTCATGTGAAACTAATTTGATAATATAGTTTTGAACATACATACCTAACAACTTTTCAGTTGTATAATGGTGTCAGTGAGAATTGCTCTATTTCTGGCTTTAGCCATATCAGGTAAGCTCATTCGTACAAGTCTAGTACCATATCCTGATTTTAATTGTAGTAATGTAATTTGAAATCCATATGTTTGTGACTCATTTAATTACCGCCACTGCTTTTTTGCATTTGAATCAATAGATCTTTCTTGTCCGTTTAGTGCCGAATGGGTAAAGCACCAATTTTGATAGAATTTGGTAAATACTGTAATGCTTAAACACTCTTTGGAGAGTCACTTTATTCTTGTCCTATGTTTTTCAAGTCTATGTGAAAGTTGAGCGCTAATAATATTCAAGATGCTTCAAACCTCATTTTTTGTTTATTTAGTAATTTAATTTGCGACCTTATTATGTGAAGCTTTGAATTCTTTTTATATCGTTACTTTATCGCTTTATGAATCCGCACCTATTTTAGCGAATATTTAGAATAACTATAGGTAATTTGGAAAGGATTTAATACGTACGTACGATTCAACCTACTTGATCTCGTTTTCATTGTAGTAATCGCAGGGATTTCTGGTACAAAGTGCTACTTATGCTCTTCTCTACAAGATGAAAAATGCAGAAGTGCACAGAATCAGGATTCATACCATTTAGATTGCGCACGATTCACCCCCGTATCAGGACAGAATTACACGTGTGGAAAAATTGAGTTTGTTGAGGGTAAGTAAAGTTTAATAAGTATACTTTGGACTATACATGTACGGTGTCAACAGAAGTTGAATGATTTGGCGGAAAAACTTTTATTGCATGTCCAGAACTTCAAAGAAAAATTTGAATTAAAGACATCCATGCATGCAGCAAGCGTCGACTATGTATTTAATTACGTTAGATATAAATTCTTGACAACAAGGAACAGAATACTTCAGAGCACATCACTAAGTGATGGAGAAACTGAATATGTCGGAGAAAGAAAACACTTGGAACAACCAGCCAGGACAAAATAAATATTATGAAAAGCCTGTAGAGACAAAAATTGCCTTTTTCCACAAAATGCTTCCACCGTTGGCAAAATTTTGTTGAAGGAGCTTCTTTCTCAGTTCGCTCAGTGTTTCGTTTTCTGAATTATCTTCGGATGGTAATTCTGGGTCTGGATCTTTAACTAAAGGAGTACGTTCTTCAAATATCGGATCATCAAAATTTGTTTCATCTGGAGTGATGAATACTTCATCATCGTCTGAGTTACATTCAGACAAGTCAGAGATCTTCAGACTTTGCAACAATTTTTCGCATTTGGGACGCCATATCAAGCCAGAACCGTAGGCTCATAGGGTTTAAGCGGAAGGGATCATGCTTCCTTACCGGTTTGAATAGTAAAGACTGGAAAGAAGCTCAACCGCCATGTAATCTAATACAAAAAACATAATTAAATATGTAACATGATCTTTCATTACACTATACTATAACTATCTAAAACTGTAATGACTCATCGATGTTCACGTGAACATCACTTAAATACCAGTAGTCGGCTGTTCATAGGCGGGGTATGAATGTTTAACATGGGTGAACTAGATTTGTCACATGCTTAATAAAGAGTGGTTTGAAACATATTGTAAGTCAAACATTTGGGAATTACCTTTATTCATCGTTGCTTCCACTTACATCTGACAGTAATAAACTGTCGCTATCGCTTTCCTCGTTGAAATTGACTATAACTGGCTCTATGACGGTGTCGATGTGGTGGTCAAGCTGCCACATTTTTGTTTCTTCCTTCACAACATGACGGATAGCATTCTGCCAAGCTTCGGGCGTTACTAGCTGTATGGAAGTCTCAATTAAAACCTTAACGTCTGGTAATTTGAAGGTTGTGTTATGGCGCGCAATATAACCCTTCACTTGAGCCCAGATGAGCTCTATTGGGTTCAGTTCACAGTGGTAGGACGGTAACCGCAGCACAGTGACATCACATTGACGGGCCATCTCATCAGTCACGTAACTAATCCAATTCCGCTTTCACACATGAATCGTCAAACGGGATTCCTTTTTCGCGCAACCATTGCTGCATGTTACTTTTTCGAGTTCCCATAGTCGGTACACGTTCGGCTCGACTACTATGGTAGGAAGCATTATCCATGACGATCACAGAGTTGGGCTCAACTCGCTGAAGCACCCCTTGAAACCAGCTCTCGAAGCAGCTGGTTCATTTCGTCATGGTAATCACCTCCTTTCTTAGAGACGAAAATCAAGTCACACTCTTCTAAAAAGAAACTGTCGCTACCAATATGAGTTACGATCAATCTTTGACCTTTCCCTGACGGTCCACGAAGGCCTGTTGACAAACCTTCAATGCTTGCTTGTCGGTTACTCACTAAGTTTTTGTCTATCCAGGTTTTTGTAACTGTGTGACCTGCATTTACCCATGTCTCGTCAAAATAATAGATTTTTCTGCTTTGTCGCCTATATTCAATCATTTTGCGTAGGTATTTTCGACGCCAGGCGACTATTTCAGGTCTCTCTATCAATACTGACTTCCGATTACGCGTTTCGTAACGAAAATTAATTTCGTGCAGGGATTTCCTCATTACCTCGACGCTCGTTTGGGGTATAATTTCATTTTCCTTGATCGCTGCATGTACAGCCTTGAGGGTTGGTATCTCATTCCTAAAGAAGAATGAATGTACGGTTCGCTTTAACGCCATTTTGCTATCGTCATCCAATTTAACGGCCTTTCGTCCCTTCAAATTAAACTTTGGATCAGTAGTAGCTCCAGTTTTCTTCTTTTCATGCACCACCCTGCGAATGGTCCACTCTGGAACGCCTGTCATACTTTCACAACGCGCGAGTGCATCTCCCTGCGACATAGTTCTGTTCAGATAATTGAACACGTTGAGCACGATTTCTTTCGCGTACCTCTTCAGTGCTTTACTTGTTCCCTGGCTTTCAGTACCTCCACTCGTGCCATTTGTACTCTCCATGGTTAAGTATAACCAAAACAGTAACCACAGAAGCCACAACAATAACAATCACACAACAATTCTTATAAAAACACACAATAAGCGATCGCTCAACGAAACACGTTCCAATGCGTTGCCGACGCCTATGAGTCTGCCCGTCGAGGCGCGTCTTTGATTTCATTGGTTCTACCGGCGGAGAACAATCAGCCATTATTTCCATCTCTGTCTGTGCTGTTGACCACCGCAAAGCCACAGAAACGACATATGTCGTACGCTATACGGCTGTACTGGAAGGAAGCCGGGATCGAGCTCTGATCACGTGTTGATCACGCGTATGAGTCATTACAGTTTTAAATAGTTGTAGTATAGCATTGATAATTGCTTAACGGGCAGTAACGCCATTTTCCGTCAACGATGTTAACAGCTCACCTTTATTACGTTTTGTCAACATTGCCCAATTTAAAGGGTAATAATTTTATTGCCCGGTCATTAACATCAATACCCGGATTATCGTCATTACCTATATGAAAGATACAATGAACTAATTTCTAAATGAAAGTCAAAATCGATGGAATACTTTTTTCAGGTGAAACAATCCAAGTAGTCAGAGGTTGTATGATTAGCGACATAACCTGTGAAGATATAGAGAAAGTCGCACCGGTCAAGATAACGGACTGTACAATTTGTGATACCGACTTCTGCAATGGAGCATAAAGTCAAATTCTTACATTGAGTAAAATGTTTGATTAATTCTGGCTTTTTATTCTCCTTGTTCCCCAGTGCAAATTTAAAAACGTTTGCATATATCTGAAAATTCTACGTTTCACAGTTTCTAGAAAGCTCTCCATTCCTGGTCAGAACATGCGTCTGATTTGCCTAAAAATAACTTATAGTCCAAGGATTGGCTGCGAAAATCGTAGTACGATAAGAAACTGAGCGATATGTTTTTAAAAAATTGGTACGTACGTCGACAATGACGGTTAATCTTGTGCGTTTGGCGAGAATTTATTCAAAATTTTCTTGTAGGATGTCCCAGAATAAAATTATATTGTCTGGCATACATAAATATAGAATAAAATCACTATATAATATAAACGCTGCCTTGGAGTCTTTCAGAGATACAGGCTGCTGAAGGAATATTGATAAGAATCTCTACACGATGGGTCATCGATAACATTTTTGCAAATTTAAAAAATGTATTTGTATTTAACAAAACCCTTTAATGTCAGTACAGTTCTAATAATTTTGATTTTGCACCCAGCATACTGATCGCACTCTGTACCACTCACAAAAATGCTGGCTCCCTTCACTATCGATGGTCTAAGTTCTTGGCAATTCATTAATTCAAATGGGTGATATCTATTTTTGCGCATGATAAGTTGGGCTGTGGATTTGGCCACACTACATTTTTCTCAATTAGCCTTGTTGATATCTCAGTCGTAACAGACTTTTTGACTGAATCATATTTATTTAAATTTCGAGCCAACTCTGAGAAAATGGACTTACTTGGTTATGCAGGCTTTTTAGTATCTTTTTAACACAAAATGTAGCGTATCAGCATGTCAAACTTTTCTTCATTGCCAAAATGACCGCCTGGTATCTTTGACGATATTAAAGTAATACTAAAAATACATAATAATAGCAATACTTGGTGACAGGTATTCACGTCAGGTCAAGCATTTGTCTGCAACGCCTGCTTAAAACAAATAAAAAAATCAAAGAAAGCGTATTTTTCCTCTTAATCAATGAAATAAATGTAACATGTGATCGTTAAACTCGTGTAAAAGATGGTACTATATACAGAGTTTACTTCCTTTTCAGACCATATAAAAAGTTGACGATGGTTATTCCAAAACGGACCTTCGGGCGCAACATTTAAAAACACCATCATGAACTGCCTAAAAAGTGTCAATGGAACGGCTTCATAAGTTTTTTCATATATCTTAAAATCTAGTCAGGATAAAATAAAAATGATTTGGCCAAATGTTAGCTTTTCCCAGTTTCTCAATGCTAATGCGCCCCACAAAACGTTACATTTTCTCAATTTACCCTAAGCTATATCTGTCACACGTATTGAGATCCATATCCATAGGACCCTTATCTTGGACTTGAGACGTGGTCATTGTCGTCTAGACCAGTTAGGTGAAAAATTAAAGCTTCCGCCTTTTGTTGGGTACTTCGACAAAATTTAAGCAAAGAGGACTCTTTATACTTTTTTTACTTCTCTCTAGCTTGCAATGGACTTTGCCATCATCATCAGGAGCTGCAATTACAATGAGAACAGTAGCACCAATAGTGTAAAATGAATTTAAATTGACTTAACTTACAGTAGTATGTGAGGATGTTGCTAATTGTTGTTTACGTATAGGATGAGGAGAACGCCCAGTAACATGGTGAAAGCTGGATAGATGGTACAATGGTCAAAATTATATAAAATATGACAAGAACAAGTTAAAAACAGATTAAATTTTTTTTAAAAAACATGAAAGCATTACATCGTGAAGCCACTTGATGATTGCACAAAATCGTGGTCATGGAATAATGAGTGAGATGAACCCTTTGACAGAAGGCCGAAGGTTGTCAATGTCTGTGTAGAAAGATGGAACGAATTGTGGGCGTGTGCCAACGTCGCCAAATCACTTCAGATGATGTGATTTTCAGAATGTTATGTAAGAAATTGTTAAACCGACCAGAGGCAGTTGAATTAACTATATTTTAATTAATGGGAAATTAAATTAACAATTATTATTAAATCGTGAGAAGGAAATTATTATAATTTGAGTGGAATGGAGTTTATTGGTGGAATCGACCAAGCAACAGATTCCATTTATGGTTGTGAAGAGTCAAAATTTGTGGAGATATGTAAGTTCTCCAATTTTTCGCAGTTTATCAAATATCAGTAAATGACACTCAGTTGCTTAACATCTGTCTTTTTGTTGATACAGTTGTTATTCATGAAAATGTGGGACATTTCCAGGAATAAACGTTTGGATAGGTGTTTTTCTTTATCAAGAACTTTGATACTTGTGTAATTCATAGGGTGCCCTGTTGTGTTAACATGAGATGCTAGAGCGCATCTTTCAGGATGAAGCCTAGAATCGCTTTTGTGTGATGTAATCCTTCCTTTAAGAGATCTGGAGGTCTGACCTATGTATATTTGGTTGCAGTTGTTGCAATTGATGGAGTAGACTTTGTTGGTTAAGCCAAACAGCGGGACTCTGTCTTTCATTTTTGAAAAAATGCAGTTTATAGTGAGGACGGATTTTCAAGCAATTCGAAAGTTCAAAGGATTGCACAATCTGATCAGCTTAGGGGTCAGTTCCTTGATATAGGGCAGGACAGCAAAACCAGGTCTGGAGTCCGGGTTGGTGCTTGTACCATTGAAAGCTAGAGAGAATTAAAAAAAGTATAAAGAGTCCTCTTTAACTTTGAAGTTGAGTCATTAATTTTCAGATAATGATTGTAGAAGGAAGATAAACCAAAATATGTGTGTAAAAATAAAAAAAAAATTTAACAAAAAATTTTACCTTGTTTTATAAAGTATCCTCCCGTCAAGTATTTCAGTGCGGACCTGTATTTGATCGTGAGGTCTTGGAACACCGGCATGCAGTCCCCTGTGTGGTCTTAAGTCACCTGATTCACGAGCCCGTTGTACAACATTAACAAAGGCACGAGGGGTTGGTTGCACTCGATTGGGAAACCGATCCGCATAAACATGTGCCATTTTTTATTTCGTTTGAGCCACACAACAGATACCACTATTCACTGACACTGACTGTATACAAATGAATGAAATACTTGTAAAAACATCGTTCCAAATTCTTTCGCTTTTTTGTTTCCGATGCGATGAACCGATACGGCGGATTATATCCGTTGTCGCCAAACACGACCACATCATATTATTATTGAGACAGGGCGGTACTCAAACTTCCAAAGGGCTATAACTATGTTACTTTAATCTTACAAGAAAAATGGTAAAGGAAAAAACATTTCTTTTGATCAGATCTACTCACTGTTAAAATAAATGACTCAACTTCGAAGTCGCCCTGTATATATATATATATATATATATATATATATTCACTGCAGCCACCCCGCAAAAACATCCGAATTAAATCTAACCAAGTGATCTACATGTATATATATTTTATATATATTTGAAGTTGAGTCATTAATTTTCAGATAATGATTGTAGAAGGAAGATAAACCAAAATATGTGTGTAAAAATAAAAAAAAAATTTAACAAAAAATTTTACCTTGTTTTATAAAGTATCCTCCCGTCAAGTATTTCAGTGCGGACCTGTATTTGATCGTGAGGTCTTGGAACACCGGCATGCAGTCCCCTGTGTGGTCTTAAGTCACCTGATTCACGAGCCCGTTGTACTACATTAACAAAGGCACGAGGGGTTGGTTGCACTCGATTGGGAAACCGATCCGCATAAACATGTGCCATTTTTTATTTCGTTTGAGCCACGCAACAGACACCACTATTCACTGACACTGACTTTATACAAATGAATAAAATGATTGTAAAAACATCGTTCCAAATTCTTTCGCTTTTTTGTTTCCGATGCGATGAACCGATACGGCGGATTATATCCGTTGTCGCCAAACACGAGCACATAATATTATTATTGAGACAGGGCGGTACTCAAACTTCCAAAGGGCTATAACTATGTTACTTTAATCTTACAAGAAAAATGGTAAAGGAAAAAACATTTCTTTTGATCAGATCTACTCACTGTTAAAATAAATGACTCAACTTCGAAGTCGCCCTGTATATATATATATATTCACTGCAGCCACCCCGCAAAAACATCCGAATTAAATCTAACCAAGTGATCTACATGTATATATATTTTATATATATTTGAAGTTGAGTCATTAATTTTCAGATAATGATTGTAGAAGGAAGATAAACCAAAATATGTGTGTAAAAATAAAAAAAATAAAAAAAAATGTTTACCTTGTTTTATAAAGTATCCTCCCGACAAGTATTTCAGTGCGAACCTGTATTTGATCGTGAGGTCTTGGAACACCGGCATGCAGTCCCCTGTGTGGTCTTAAGTCACCTGATTCACGAGCCCGTTGTACAACATTAACAAAGGCACGAGGGGTTGGTTGCACTCGATTGGGAAACCGATCCGCATAAACATGTGCCATTTTTTATTTCGTTTGAGCCACACAACAGATACCACTATTCACTGACACTGACTGTATACAAATGAATGAAATACTTGTAAAAACATCGTTCCAAATTCTTTCGCTTTTTTGTTTCCGATGCGATGAACCGATACGGCGGATTATATCCGTTGTCGCCAAACACGACCACATCATATTATTATTGAGACAGGGCGGTACTCAAACTTCCAAAGGGCTATAGCTTTGTTACTTTAATTTTACCAGGAAAATGGTAAAGGAAAAAAACGTTTCTTTTGATCAGATCTACTCACTGTTAAAATAAATGACTCAACTTCGAAGTCACCCTGTATATATATATAGGGTGGCGCATTGAAAACGAAACAGACGCATTTACTGGCAGCTCAGTTTTTTTTTTTGGAAAAACGCTCAGACCCGTCGATCTTGTTTTCGAGCGGAATGCAAGTTTGGCAAAATATCACGTCAACCACCTGGGTGGAGGTGACACCAACTCTAAAATCTTAAATGGAAAGGGGGGTCGAGTGATACCTTATTTTAAAGATCTTTCAATTCCCTTTATAATGATGTAAAATATATGAGCTTCAGTTCAG